TCCGTCAGTTAAGTATGATGTGGCAGTTAAATAATTTTATGTGGCATTGTTTTTTAATTTTTTTGATGATGTGGCACTAATATATATTATAATTATGTTATATAAATAAATAAAAATGCCACATAGATTAATATACATATTTTAATTAAAAACATATAAAATTACTTTATTACCCTCATCCTCACCCTCACCTTCCCAATCCCTCTTCTTCCCCTTCTTTTTTTCTCTTTCTTTCTTTCGGGTTCGGTGGAAACCCAACCTTGCTGGGTTTGTCGACCAGCCAAGGCTGGGTTCTGTACCCAGCCTTGCTGGGTTCGCGACCAGCCAAGGTTGGGTTCGTCGGAACCCAGCAGATCTGGGTTTCAACGAACCCAGCAAGGCTGGGTTCGGTGGAAACCCAGCCTTACTGGGTTCACGACCAGCCAAGGTTGGGTTCGTCGAAACCCAGCAGATTTGCTGGGTTTCAACCGAACCTAGCTTTGTTGGGAAAGCTTGGTTCTTGTTTTTTCGTTCTTCTTTCGATTTCCATTTGCAATTGTTAATATATTTGGAGATTGATTTATAATTTGATTGCATTTTTGTTGGAATTTGATTAAAGTTTGATTGTATTTTTGTTGAAATTCGATTAGAGTTTGATTGGTATTGTTTATTGAAGGGTTATTTTGATTTGGTAAGATCTGCCAGGTTTGAGGTTTCAATGAAACCCAGTAGCTCAAGTTTCCCCAAGAAAAGAGAAGAAGAAGAAATGGGTGGGTTAAGATCAGTTTTGTAGATGGAGTGGAGATGAGAGAGCATTCACAGAAGAAGAAGAAATGGGTTAAGATTGATTTTGCAGATGGAGTGGAGATGAGAGAGCATTCAGAGAATAAGAAGAAATGGGTTAAGATTGATTTTGCAGAGGGTGAAGATGAGAGACCAGTTTGCAGGTAACTAGAATCCATTGGAGGGGTTTGGCGTGAAGAAGATACATGTCATAAAAAAAAAAGTCCAAATAAGCATCTTTTTAAGTTGTGTTCGCCATGTCATAAAAAAAATATATAAAAATTGACAGAAGGATTAACGGAGTGCATTTTGTATAGTTGAGGGATCAAAAAAGTGCAAAAAATTGTTGAGGGACCAAAAATGTGCAACTCACTAAAGTTTAGGGACCAAATTTAGCATTTAACCTAAATATAATAAATAAGTTGAATTAAAACCCCAATTTTAATGTATGCAACCGTATTTAAACGGAGGATTGTAAGGTGCACATATGTCCTTCCTCACTCCGAACCGAACCCCTGAATCCCAATATCTGCGTAGACCCGTTTTAGGTGACTTGTCCCACCTTATAATTTGGACGAGTGACGACTTCCTTTCTTATATTTTTCACACTTAACATAAATTTTTCATTATTTTGAAATCTTAAGTAGTTGTCAACAGCAGCTATTTACGATTGGGCGCGTAATACCCACTGCCTACAGCTATCACGTCCCTTCAAATGCTGAGCCAGCAATTATTATGGGGAAGGCAGGGGGATATCCGTTGGCAGAAGAATATCAAATGCCTTGAGTCGTATCTCCTCAGAGATTTGGTCCATTTTGAATTAAGATTTGCTTCGTTTTAAATTTTGAAAAATGTCAAAGGTTGAGGTCGTAGCATTTTAGCCCGGCCTCGTAACCACATCTCTTCAGAAATCTCAAATCATGACAAGATTGACATCTCTTTAGAGATCTCAGATCGTGACAAGATTGACATCTATTCAGAGATCTCAGATCATGATAGTGTCAAAATCATTATACCTTAGCTCGTCCTCTGATGAGATCTGCTTCTTTCTAGAGGTTGACGTCGTCACATTTTAGCTCGGCTTCATAACCACATTTATTCAGAGATCTCAGATCATGACAAGGTTGAGATTGTTGTACTTTAGCTCATTCTTGTAATTGCTGTTGTACTTATGATTTTGATGATTACAAAACACATTTGAGTGACTAATTGGTTTATTTAAGTGTGTAGTTAAGTTGCTAAAAGATTGCAAGTAAACTTGGATTGCACTAAAAATAGACCAAAAGGATTCAAAATGTGAAGAGAGCCGGCTCTTAAAATCTGCAGCCGACTCTGGTGAAATGGAAGTGCAGAGAGTTGGCTTTAGAAGCTGCAGCCGGCTCTATAGGCAAAAATTTGAAGACCGTTGTTTGGCGCGCGCGGAGAAAAGACGCAAAGCCAGCTCCAACTTTATAGCCGGCTGTGAGGGTGCATTTAATGCACAACGGTCGACTCTTTTGAAGAATATTTAATGTATTTAAAGTCGGAGTTCCAAAGCCGGCTCAAGGTCTTGCAGCCGGCTCTCGAGGAAAACAGAATGTGCAGGAATCCCGCAAAGTCGGCTTCAGAAATGGTGAGCCGGCTGTACAGAGCCGGCTCTAGAAAGTTAAGCTGGCTCTCCTGACAGTTCTGCAACTCGAACCATGTGTCCTGCAGAGCATTTAATGACCCCCAACGTCTAGAAACGGCTATTTTCGAGCAAGGGGCTATAAATATGGTTGGTAACAGATCTGAAGAAGTTTAGAGAGTATTGTATTGAATATCTTTACCTACCTACATGAGCTTTGACTTGAGATTTTGATCTTTGAAAGATCTTTATTTGTAATCCTCTTCTTGTGATATTAGTGAGTGATCTTGGGGGTGTGTTGATTCCTTCAAGAGTGATCTATTGAGAGGATTTGTGGGATTTACATTGTAAAGGGGTGAGGTTTGAGAGAAATACTCATCTTGTTGTAAAAGGATTGAGTGGCTCCTTTAAGCCACCCTTGTTGTTGTTAGTGGAGAGTGTGGAGGAAATCCTTGGCGAGTGAAGCCAAGGTAGAGGACTAGGCTCCAAGTGGTTGGACCGAACCTCTATAAATCATTGAGCAAGCTCTTCTTCTCTACTCTCTTTAATTTTGGTTTTGTGGTTGCAAAAAATGGGAGAATTTTTGGAACTTCAATTCACCCCCCCTCTTGGAGTACATTGAGTCAACAATTGCATGATGACCTCGCTACTTTGCTTTAAAATTTTTGAAAGACTACCATGGTTAAGATCGTCATGCGTTTCCCCGTTCTCACGTCAACATAGACAAACTCGTGACATAACACGTCACACGTGACACACATCTTACCAGGAGACTCCACCTCCTCCTGGACATAACTCGCTTGAAGGATTGGGAATTCATTATTTGAATACACCCTTTACGAGCTCATTGAGCTCGCTAATGGACTGAGTTCATGTAAATAAGACCAGGTCACCCAACTGTTAGTTCACTGACTAGGATCACACTAATATCAAGTTGCTCCATGGTTAGGTTACTCAGGTGCAACCTTTTCTGCAAAGGCTTCATCATTGGGGTTCAGTTCAGCCACTGTTGAGGTCGTTCATAAATGCAAAAGAGTACAAACCCTGTCTTCAAGGCTTAATGTTGGGCCATGAATGCAATTACTCCAGTTCGTCAACCAAACACTGAGGGGGGAGTAATGTTAGGAATAGGCCCAACATTTTACTTGGGCCATGTACAGCAGGCCCAGGAGTTCATCTTTAAGTCCATAATGAAGACGCATCCGGGTACTAATTCAAACATACCCACGTGGGTGCATATAAAGGGACTAATTAGAGGCACACACGTGTAGCTTTATGTCAGGAGTTGGGGGGCTATAAATACCCCCAACTACCTTCATCCAATGTATTAACTCCACTACGCTTCTTTATCTGCAATTACTCCTTAAGAGTTTCTCTCTCTAAAATATTGAGTATTGTTAACTTGAATGTCGAAGTGTTTTTCCCAAGGAAACATCTTCAGGATTTTTAGGTGTTGAAGCAATTAAAGATATTTACAGTGTAGGATTGTGAAGATGACCAAACACTTACAAAGTAGCCAAGCAACATTTTTGGATACCCGCATGATATGAATTATATTTGTTATTTAATTTAAAAGCTTTTAAATATAAAATTTTAAATTTAATATTTATTTAAATATTTAAATATATATATTTAATATTTAATTTAATAGATATTGACTAATTTGTAGTGATATATTTATATATTGAGTTTAAAAGAAAATCTTACATGAGTTGTTATTATTGTAAATGTTAT